GAATATGCTGGAGACGCTAGAGCAGCTCTGCGACCGTCTTGGGGACCGGTTGTGCTTTAGTTCTGTCGAGGTTTATTCGCCCGAGTCGTCGGTCGTCACGCCACCCAGCAGTGGTAGTGAATATTCTATATCCCCCTATTCTGCGACGTCGAGGAGTTTCGCTCTTCCCTTTCGCATTCATTCGGAGCTTGGACAGGGTCTTTCGAAAACATCTGACTCACATGGCCACCGTGCTGTGAGTTGGTTGGATCGCATCGCGTCGTCGATGGGTGTCCTCGGCGCAAAGGTCCTCCCGGGTGATGATCCGAGTACTTCGGTGCGGATGGACAGCTCACCTCAAGTGTTTGAACTGCAATAGTCAACGATGATGCTTGCGTTGACATGAAATGTGATACTAAAAGATACCTGCTCCTAGCCGGTCTAGGATGAACTTCCCCTACGCAATTACACTTTACTTTATATCCCCTACGTGAACAATGAAACAACTCGGACATTCAATTTTGATCATATCGGCGTATGTAAGTATAGATATATCAGATGCAATCGCGTTCTAGTAGAACCACTTCCTTACCACTAATAATCCAAAGACTGCTCCAGCAAGCCCCTCAGCTCACCCCTCTCAGCCTCCAACTCCCTACTCAGAGTCGGCGCGAGCATAAGCACCCGCTGCTGCGGAATCGTCCCATCAACCAATCCCTCCAAATCCGCAGCCTTGAAGCCTAGATCCTTCAATCCACGCGGCTGGTCACCAAGCTTAACAAGGAACTCCGCAATCGCTTCGCCAAGCACCTCACCCGCACTCTCGCGCTTAACATTCGAGATATCCACGCCAAACGCCTCAGCCGCCGCCAGATGGCGATCAGGGTTCGACGCCGCGGTAAAGCGGAAGACGGCGGGCGCGGTGACGGCCACGGAAACACCGTGCGGGATGATAGGGTGATCCACCTTATAGCCCGCATGTTTATAGCCAGGGTTCTGGCTGGAGATGGGGTAGCTCATACCGTGGCAGAGGTGGACACCTGCATTTCCGAACCCGACGCCGGCGAGCGTAGCCGCGAGCAACATCTCCGACTGTGCTTCGTGGTCATCTGGGTCGTGGACTGCGCGCGGCAGGTACTTGACTGTTGAGCGCAGGGCGGCGAGGGAGAAGATGTCAGAGATGGGGTTTGCGCCCTGGTAGGCGGGCCGGTTGATGGGGTTTGTTGGGCGCGGTGTGCGCTCGTTGTATGGGATTGCGGTCCAGGACTCGAGGGAGTGACAGAGGACATCGAGGCCGGAGGCGGCGTGCACGGCTGAGGGCATGGTCCGAGTGTTAAGTGGGTCGCATATTCCGAGGGTTGGCTTCAGGGCCCGGTGGGCAATGCCCGTTTTGGCTTTCTTGGAGACTAGGTCGAAGATGGCTGTGCCTGTTGTCTCCGAGCCTGTGCCGGCTGTTGTTGGGACGGCGACGAGTGGGAGCAGGGGCCTGTCTACTGGCAGGCCTTTGCCCAATGGTGCGTTGACGAAGTCGAGGAAGTCTGCTTCAGGGAAGACGGTGTATAGGTTCATCAGCTTTGCGGTATCGATTACAGAGCCGCCGCCTGTTTTGATGTTAGTTTTTGTATACCGGGAGCCTAGGGGTCAAAGGCGACGTACCGACGGCCAAGAAGGCATCGGGTTTGTAGGGCTTAGCAAACGCGATAGCCTCTTTGATACTTAAATTGAAGACTCTCAGCACCTATACCACAGCCACAATTGAAGCTAGGGATTGACTTACGAGCTATCCTTAGGCTCAGTGCGAACTTTGTCAAAGATAGTGAACTCAATGCCCTCACGGGTCAGACCCTCAACAGCCTGCTTCATAGCATCAAGCTTGGCCACATTGGAATCAGTGACGATGCACACTCGCTTCGCGCCGAGGTTGGTAAAGTCCATTCCGACCTCCTTAGTCGCACCGGGTCCGAAGCGAATGCTAGACGCCGCCATCTCGAATGCATATTCCTTCTCACGCGAGGGGTCAATAGGCGTGGACATGCGGCGTTTCACATGGTTGAGCAGAGACGAGGTTTGCTTGTGGTTGTGGTGGTGGCTGGGGTTCTTGTGGCACGGGCAGTTAGGTGGGTGGGAGTATTGTACTGTGCGTAGCAAGTTCAGGGCACGATTGGCCGCGGAGGGAGCCACTCTGATTGCAGGAGAAACCATTCTGTGTAATTTTGTAGAATATAATCAGAAGAGAGTTTGGGAGAAGTCAAGGCGAAGTAAAAGGTCAAGCGATTCGGAAGAGAAAGGGCAAATTGGGGAAAATGCGGGGAAATGCCCCGGACTTCTGGCCGAGATCTTTTTTTTTGTTTTGCGCGCTCTCTCTTTACTCGCTGTTTACTCGCTATTTACTCCTCTATTCGGAGAATATATTCATATCGGTCTGATATATTCTCTTTGGTTTCTCCGCTTTGGAGAAACTCGAATCCAGTGCATCTATATCCCATAGCCGAGGTTAGTTACACTCGCCGATCATGACGTCTCCAACAGTATATATCCGTCTACGGATCCACGGGTGTGCACAATAAGAATGAGTATATAATCAAACATAAAAAGTCGAATGATCCAATTGAGCAGCACTATCGTATACTAGCTCTCATATCCACCAACTATAACAATCTCCCAATCTCATACCCAAATTAAACCCCCAACCTCTCAGCAAAGCGACAAGATCAAATCCGTCGAAGCATCAACGGCCCTAACCTGACTTCCAGCAGGTGGAACCCCATCCTCCCAAGAAATCAACGGCTCGGAAGGCTTAACATTCACCGGGTAACCCGCAAATGGATCGCCAAAGACATCAGAGAGATCATACCAGACTTTATCCTGTCTCTGGCCTCGCTCCCTTGTAGAGGAAAGGTTGTACGCAAAGATCATCTGCGGAGAACTGGTATACAGCCCGTCACGGTCGGTGCTGATCTTGATTGCGATGCCGCCAGTGTCTGCGTTCTCGCGGAAAACCTCGCTGTACTCGTCGTTCGGAAGGAGAGTTCGCTCTGGTAGGACTGTAGAAGCCACAGACCAGAGGTAGACTGGGAACTTGCAGTTGTTGTGCACTATCGCATGGCCTAGGTTTCGGTGGGTGGGTGGTGGTGTGCTGCTTGGTCTCACTGAGACGAAGCTTGAGGAGGGGAAGGCACCGTAGGGGATGTCTCTTTGGCCATGGTTGTTGTGGATTGTTGGGTTCGAGAGGGCGAGGCCGGCGAGCGAAAGAAGGGGGATGATAGTTGAGAAATACATATTGATTGATTGAAGAGCTGTTGGGATACTCTTTAATTATGTCTTGCGTTAGAATCAGGAATTTGGACAGCTTTATATAGATGTTTCTATTCTTGTATCTGGGATCATTCTTGTTGCTGTGTTTCACCGCGAGCCTAATTGGATCTAATTCTTCGCGGCAAGATGCATATAGGCAGTTGCTATGAATCTAGGCTCAGGGGAAATTAGATGCCAAGCTATGTTGTACACTGTAGATGTGGCGCGAAATGTAGGGGTGTGAAACTACCACAATGTAGTAACCGAAAAGACACATCTGTTTGTCCAACAGAAACATATGAAGAATGTCACCGTTTCCCTATTTAGTGCGCATGTTGACTTTGTATCCCCGGAGAAAGATCGGAACTCGAGGAATGTACAGGCCTTTAATTTTATATTATATGTCGACAGGGCGAGAAGAGTCAACAAATCGGATATTTTACTCGTGTCTGATCGAAGATATGGAAGAATGTAACTAGCCTACTGGCTCCGGGTATAATACCAAAAAGAATGAGATCACATACATATACAAAGACTATACCGAGGGATTATGCTTCTTCAACAACCTTTATAGTGAGTTACACCCGTGGACGGCATGACAAACTCGGGTTAAGCAGGCTGATACAACGATCTGAAACTCTACTCTTGATCAAAATAGGGAATCAAACATCAAAAATAGAAGACTCCGTGGCTAGGGCAACTGTGGCGTTCTAGACATTCATTTCTCCTGAGGAATGTGAGCTTTCTATGGGGGAGACCACACGGAAAATTCTTTTGGGTTTGAAACTACCGAGGAATGTCAGATAGGATAGACTTCAAAACACCCTGCCACAGAACACGAATTCAGGAACAAAACAAACTCAGGGTAGTTCATGTGGCACGCCAAACGGTCGGTCGCTCATTTGTGATATCCTCGACGTCATGTCCGATGTCCCTTATAAGCATTGTGAGACAGACCTAACGTTCTGTGTGGCATACACAAATTGATAGATGTGACAACATACTCTGATTCAGGTCGGAGGCATAGGAATATCGCTATTGGGGTGTTTCGGCAGCCCTGTGGTTCAGCTAGAAGGCCTAAGGAATGACATGGCTGAATGAGATCTAGATCTAATCAAATATCAACATCCTAGATAAGTGACAGGCTTCCGGTTCTTCCAATTGGCTGAGATCAAGATGTGCCAAGAAAAACATTGTATTCAACTATGTGTGACAAAACATCTCTCCAGAAGAAAAATAGGAAGGGCAAGGATAAGTTGCCACCAGAATATATCGCGGCCCCGCTTACAACCCAAGTCATGTGGCCACGAGACCCTGGCATTGTCAATCTGCTTGAAGTCATGTTCTCACTTCTGACCTGCCACTGCTGTTTTGAGATAGATAATAGCCTAGCCATATGTGGTGCAGCGACAAAATACAGCCATGGTCGGTGGTGGCTATGGAGTGGTAGGCATTATAGGGGACATCCCGGATACCAACATCCTTTCCGAGACCTTGGTGGGGAGTGGTCGACCGAGGTCATGCTGGGTGACGTTGTAGGCGGTGCAGATGAGAGTGTTGCGGGAAGTATTCTAAGTATTATGGAGCATGAATCCTTGCTTGAGCTGTCCGGAGCGACAAAGTCGCCGGTCAGTTGGACATTTCTGCGACCACAGTGAAGACTTGAGTTTGAATAATCAGCGTAACGATCAAGAGCTGTAGGTAAATAGCAATATCTGGAAACCCTCCTAGTGTTGAGCGCTGTGAATCTTCTCGTACTCAGGCAGAGCCCACTTCACCATCCATTCAGATTCCAGAACCTGCTGAGCAGATGGTCTATTCTCCGGCCTGAAGGATAGCATCGGGCGCAACATTGAGAAAAGAGCATCTCGTTCGTTTGGTTCAAAGGGGGGCATACCCTCCCTTATCCGCGCTCGCTGCACGCTCATTTCAAAGTTATCCTCCCATGAGGGATATTGGGATTGGGGTCGGTCTACTGGTTCTCCATCCTTGAGGGATTTTTCTCGATGTGCTTTCCACGTTTCCAGCCATTCGTTTGGTAGCGGACCCAACGTATCGATTTGCTGGCGAGTCATATCATCTTCGTCCGTAAAAAAGCCTTCAAATAGCGATCTTTGGGCAATGATCTCCCAGATAGTGCATGCAAGTGTCCAGATGTCGGATGAAAAGGTAAGTGGTTTAGTTATCTCAAAGTAAGTCTCCGGGGGTCGGATTAGAAGAGGCGTGTGAGACTCAAATTTCTTCTCTTTTGCCGGGGAGAATGCTTCACCAAAGTCTGAGAGGAGGATCCTAGCTTCTAGGAGTTTAAGATTCTCACTTGCTTTCCCGAGCCAGATAGGCAAGACACCATATTCCGGGACCCCTGGAGGGAGCTTTTGGCCATCTAATCGATTGACCCTCTCTCGTACTGGCTCTCCATACAGCTCATATAACCTTTTAGTGGACAACTGATCGAGCTCCTGGACCGGCTGGAGGAGAATGTTCCCACAATGAAGATCTCCATGGACGAATCCTTGTGAATGGATATACAGAACCGCAATCACGAGTTGCGCGGCTAAGGCTCGGGCGACCTCCAGCTGGAAAACGCTAATCCATGAACCATTTTTTGCTCCAGATAGGCTCATTCTTGCTGGGCTAGTCACCCAAACAGACATGGTTACCATGAGGGCCTTGTATGTTGAACTTATCCCAGATTGAAGGAATCATTGCTTTGCCCTCTGAGAACTGCTGGCCTTCGGACAATCTGGACAGTACGTTAATCTCGTGCGCGTTTGAATCCGCCGTACAGACTTTGACAGCAGCGTATCTGTTGAATTTTTCATCCCAAGCAAGCCATATCGTCGAGTATGTACCATGGCCGAGCTTATGGACTGCCCGGTAGCGACTGTAGAAGCGATCCCCAATTGTTACTGGGTGATAACCCCCAGCCCGGTAATATTCCATTCTTTCCACATCTTCAATGGGCTCATATAAGACATGGCTTGTATTCACGGTTGAATCAGTCGATTTGAACCTAGTGAGTGAAATTGCACGGTGTTGAGGATGAAGATATGGTAGGCTCGCCTTCTTAGGAATGAGACGACGTGAGAAAGACGCGGACGAGTGTAAGGGCCTAAAAAGCAAGCAGGATTTTCTCATATTTTTCTTATCGCGATCAAGGCCCTTTGATAATGAATCAAATTTAGTGCCTGGCACGCTATGTCTTGTTAGACGGTGAATAGTACTACAAATAATACTACCACTACACACTATACTTTATGCTCCCATCTACTAGCTTATAGACTCAAACAGAATAGTTATCACTTGGCCTTACAACTTATTTTCTCACTAAACGCACGCAAACCCCAACAACTACCCCAATGATGGTTCCAACAACAAGCCCTACAGCTATCCACACGACGTAATACTTGATCACTCGTAGCTTAGAGCCGGTATGCCACTCCACCGTCCCATCTTTCATAGTTACAATGGGTCGTTTCCCACGGAAATCACGAGGCTCTTCCAGATCCATGGAATGTGTTGGATGTGTACTCGTGTGAGCTTGCTCGGGTATCGTTGGTGCCATGATGTCAAGGAAGTGGTAATTTGGTCTTGACCGTAAACCTCAATCTTATTGATAATCAATAAATGTCTTTAGAGGCTTCAGAAACTTGCTTTCGATTGAAACTGACATGTTTTCTTCGGGAAATTTGGTGTCGTCTGTTTGGACGCGTGCTTGAATCTCGAAGGATAAGCGATCGGAAAGTCCCTTAGAACTAACCCCGTAATGTGTAGCCTCTAGACGGAATGAATCACAACTTCTTAGTCTAATCATATAGTCATAGATCTTGCATCTTTACGTACCTTGCTGACTTGATTCAAACGTTGAACTACTTAGACCAACGTATTGCAGGAGGGGATTGGTGGGGAGAAAAAATTGTTAGACTCCGTAATCACCCCATTTATGATTTATATGCTGTAGTAATTCATGAGACCCTTGAATAGCTAAACGAGTTAGGCGGCTAATTCTAAAGTAACCGGGACCCTTGTAAACTTAAAAAGGATCGACACAGCAATTGGTTCGATCGAGACGTGGGGGCCGGGAAGTGGATCCTCTCCACAGCGGGAACCCGAGTGATGCCCAATGGAATTCATGGGGCCAAGTGGGTTATTAAAATGAGACTTTCTTCGCCTACTCATGATTTGTAACACACCAGGCAGAAACCCCTTTCAACTACGTACTTCAGAGAGGGTCAAAACGGAATTTCCATTTCCTCACCTGATATCTCATCGCCGGTTACCTCGTCGGTTCAACCTAGTACGGTATTCCAAAGCTACTTAGCTAGTGAACCTATAAGCTAACTAATGTCGCATGATCGACTCAGTCAGGGACACAGATAACCCTCGCATATGGTCAGGCCAAGATTAGCTGCTAGTCATTTTCAATCTCCGATTTACTCAGAGAATATCCATTTACGCGACGCGACCATGGATTGGTTGACAAAGTTGTTCACGGGAAAGGACTCGGCGAAAACAGAACAAAAAGCGCAAAGGCGGATGAGCAAAGAACACAGTCGAAGGGTTCGTGCACAGGAGAAGGAGCTCCGACGTGGGAAGGATAATGGTACTGTCAAAAAGGCGAGCTTTTTCTGGGGATCGTCAGGTCAGACATACCAGAGTAATGTTCGTGGTCCGGGTAAAGGAATTTGAATGGGTTCGGAGACAAATCTGCGAATAAATGAGGCGAGATAAAGAAGCGTCGACTTCGTGGCTGCTAAATTCGTTAATGGAAATTTCTGTCTGTCTGTTGGACTTGGCTAGATAATGCCTAGATGTGTCTGATGGATTCATTGACATGGACGTAGTATTATTGAGAAGGGAATGAGAAATCAACAGCGGAAATTGGGACTCAGTCTTGGCGTTTATTGGCCTTAGGCCGCTATATGTATGCCTTAACATTTCCCGTGACCACAACAACATCTTTCCAGCTCAACCTACTCTATACTCTTTTGAGGGTGTGATGTTAGATTAATATCACTCGATTTATTTCTAATGGGGTTAGACATAACCAGCTATGCTTAGTGCAAAGTCTTCTAAGTGAGAGACATCGAAATACATGGTTTTGTGGGAATGAGTTGAAGCTAATAAACTACAGGGTTTCAAAATTTGAAACATTTATTTACTCATTTCACTTGTGCTTTCCTGCCTTTGAGATCTGAGCCTAGCATTTCGATATGTCGACGGTCTTACCACATCTCATCGGCTCTGTAGTCGTCCAAACGCATCCCCTCCGTCCATATCAAATTTGCTGAAGAACAACTTCATGGTATCATGTTCCCAGTCATGACTATGTGAAGTGTCGGGCTAGCTTGGAATTTACCGACAAGCATCACAGCGAGCTGACAGGCTCCACGATTCTGTTGTAGATCGGCGATAATGGACAATTGTTCTGGCTCCTGATGATGCAGGTACTCATCTGATGGCACCCGGCGAATTCATTACCGATGTTTGAATCAATCCTCTGACGAAGAAGAACAACGCCTCTCGCTGTCCCCCGTATCGGTCACCTCAAGTTCTGATTCCTTCATCAGTATCCTGGGCACCTCATCTCTTTTGCCCTCGGAATTTGGGTCGTAACTCGGAAACTGCAGCTCGGATTTAGGAGTATTGGACTCACTAGCCATCTGGAGAACCGAAGATATGGCAATGGTCAGACTGTGTAGCAATCGATAGACAGTCTGGAAATTCCATTCCAATTGGCTACGGAGATTCTAGTTGCAATCTCGCATTTGCAGACTACAAGAGCTCCGGGTGTTCTTATAAGGGTAACAAATGTTACGATAATGAGAGATCGGTGGGTCGTTCTTGCCTGCGTGGGAAGGAAAACGCTCCTTCCTACTAGGTACATTTGCCACTTTCCTTTATTCTCTTGTTTGTTCTTTCCTTTCCAAGGTTGTTTACACTTTAGCTAAGCGAGACGTTCGACTTTTGCATCGTTTGCATTAGTGCCAGGTATATAAACAGGCTGATTCCCACTTCTGCACTTACTTCTTCTCTCTCTCTTCATCATTTTGAATCAACCACATCACAGCGCAATCCATCCAACTTGCCTGCCACCTGTCGTGTCCATCATCCATCACATGACTTGTCTGTTCTTACTATCTTTTTTTCCCTCATAACTTACATTCATCCTTCAGACGACCCAGCCACATCACAAGCATCCAATCATGGCACCTGTCATGTTCATCATCCATCAAACAACTCAGCCACATCATAGTGCATCCCGTCAACGTGCCTGGCATCTATTGAGCCCATCATTTATCACATGACTTGTCTGTTCTTGCTACCTCTTTTTTATCGTCTACTTACATTCATCCTTCAGGCATCTGTCATGTTCATCATCTATCAAATAACTCAGCCACATCACAGCGCATCCCTTCAACGTGCCTGCCACTGTCGTGTTCATTGTCTATCATATGACTTGTAAGTTCTTGCTGTCTCTTTTTCTCATATACTTACATTCATCCTTCAGACGACCCAACCATATCGCAAGCATCCCTTCATGACACCTGTCGTATTCATCATCCTTCATACAACCAAACCACATTCTCCTTCCATCTTCCATCTTCCACCTTATGAGGTTTGTTTCTTGTCTGTGTTATCACCTATTCCTCATCTTCCCTCATCGCATTCTATGACATGGTTAACACCTGATGACATGGGGCTAACTGTACTAGATACCACATCCACTCAACCCCATCCAGTGAACCACATCCATTCAACCACATCCAGCCTTACCGTGACAGGTTTGGGCTTCACGACAATCGTCAGGCTGCAATAACAGCAAACACAAACAAAAAAACAAACAAAAAAAAAAAAGAAAAAGAAAAACAAAAGAAAACAAAGACAAAAGAAAATGCCTTGGACGATTTCAATCAACAACGTTCAAACAGCCACTTCAAGCATCCCCTTCAAGCATCCCCTTCAAACAACCATCCCCTTCAAGCATCCCCTTCAAACAACCATCCACTTCAAGCATCAACTTCAAACAACATTCAAACAACCATCCCCTTCAAGCATCCCCTTCAATCAACCTTCAATCAACCATCCACTTCAAGCATCCACAATCAACCACTTCAAGATCCTACCTTCAATCAGCCACTTCAATCAGCCATCAAACAACCATGCACATTCAATCAACTATCCACATTCAATCAACTATCCACATTCAATCAACTATCCACATTCGACTACTACAATGCTTCGACCTTAAAGAGGAGGAATGAAAAGAAACGGTCTTGAACGACAGAGTCTCCGCAGGAGTGTCTCTGAAGGAGACTTCTCGTCGGGAAGAGGTTACAGCGTGTACCCAATTAAAGGAGACTCTCAAGACCGTTTGCTGTGGTGGTAAAAAAAATGGTCGCCTCGACAAAGCATCGACATTCAAGCATCTACATTCGACATCCAAAATCCAAAAATCCAATTCCACTTCAATCATCCACTTCAATCAACAATCTGCATTCGACTACTACAATGCTTCGACCTTAAAGAGGAGGAATGAAAAGAAACGGTCTTGAACGACAGAGTCTCCGCAGGAGTGTCTCTGAAGGAGACTTCTCGTCGGGAAGAGGTTACAGCGTGTACCCATTTAAAGGAGACTCTCAAGACCGTTTGCTGTGGTGGTAAAAAAAATGGTCGCCTCGACAAAGCATCGACATTTAAGCATCTACATCCAAGCATCGACATCCAAGAACCACATCCAAGAACCACATCCAAGAACCACATCCAAGAACCACATCCAAGAACCACATCCAAGAACCACATCCAAGAACCACATCCAAGAATCACTTCAATCAATCTTCAATCAAGCATCAATCAAGCATCCACACTTATTCAACCACTTGCACTGAGAAATGATAATCTAAAATTCTACACGTCTCCAACCTAGAGCTTTTTCCAAGCTGATATAATCCCTGGTTATACATAGAAAGGCTGTTTGCACGGTTTATGCTCTTTACCACCTTCGTATATTGTCGAGTTTTCTAGCTATAACACCGAGAATGTCTAAAAATAGATATCTAATAGTGTCGACTCCCAGTAGAGGACCTGGGGAACTGTGCGCATGATGGATGAACCTGTAGAGCGAGTAGAGATTGATATTCTATTTCTAGATAAATTCATCAAAAGAATAGACGTGAATACCTTAATGACTGGTCAAGCATGTTACAGACAAAGAAATAGTGTTCTGTTCATATTCTTTATGTCTGCTGAAACATGGCATGCGTGTTTCAGATCTTTCTTTGACCTATGAATAGGTCTTTGGCCCTGAAAATAAAGACAAACGCACAAAAAAGACCATCTCACTTAGTTCGAATCCCCATAAACGCCACCTCCGGTTCTCTGCAAACACGGACAATCTGCTCATCGTGGGGACAACTTCCAGTCTTCAGGGCAATACAAAATGACCTAGCAAATATGCCTATAACTAAGGTGACATCGATATCCAAAGATGTTGCGCAGTCCTACCCCTGTAGAGTCAACGACCTTGGACCAATACTATGTAGTGGCGTCGCAAATTACTTTTTAGGAATTGAATTAGCCAAATAAGACAAGGATAGAGATAATTTCTGTGCTGACGTGAATTGCAAACTACATAACTCCTTCCATCTTCTGCATCTCTTTTTGTGACTTGCCTTGCACTTCGTTTCTTTCCTCGACACCTCTCAGTCGCAAACTCCCCACCTACTTCGACCCTTGTTTACTCTCCACGCCACTCCCCAGTAACACACAAATTGACATGAACACAGCGCACGATGGCTACCGATCAAATTTCCAAGCCTACCGAGCCCGATGCCCTGATCCTCGAAGCTTGGGGCCAGGGTCTGATGGTCGGAAGTCTACTCATTATGGCCGCTATCACTCTTGCCAATATGAGGTCGCATATTCTCCTGCACAAGCTGATCTTCGCCGAGGTACGGTGGAAGCGAAAAGACTAGCTCTGTAATTTATGTGCTCAACAAAACTTGGCTAATCTTCGGATCGACTATAGCTTGTCCTAGCTATGGCTCATGGTACTTTCATCTTCCCCGATGAACCGGTCTACGGCTGGTATCTATCTGTGACCGCGGTTGGTCTCAACATCTCCTGGGCCCTGCATAATGTTATCGCCTGGATGAAGAACCGTCCATTCCTGTCGCGAAAGGTCTCAATCATCTACATTACCACTGTTGTTCTCTGCTGGCCCTATTGGGGTCTGGAGATCTATGCCAACTTCACATACTTCAACAATATCAACAAGGTCTTCTTGAAGACCAGACCAATGGAGCCATTATTTCGGTTGGTCATTTCAATTCCTCGCAAATATTGAATGCAGCTGCTTCATATCTGAATCCCTCCATTCTAACATGATCTGCCAACAGCGACCCGTGGTGGATCTTCACAACAGCCAGTCTATTCTGGACCATCAAGCGCGAATACAACTTCGGAATATGGGAGCTCATAGTAGTTAGCCCCCGCTTCGGACTCATGCTGGTAGCCATGTGTCTGTCGATTATTTTCATAATCGTCGATACCTGCAGCGTGTTGAAAGTCTTCTCCAGCATACTCCCAACAGGTGTTGAGCCGTTCTGGAAAGTAAGATCCCATCGTCCGATCTTCCTTTGTCACACCACCCTAACCATCCCAGCTATCTTTCATCTTCAAATGTCTCTGCGACACGGTCATTCTCGACGACTTCAAGACTGCCCTTGATAACTTGCGCGTCCACTGGATGCGCAAGAAGAACAGCCAGTTGTTCGGCAGCCCGCTCTCTACCCCGAGCTCTACTCCAGACTCTAGCCCTCGCGCGCACAGAATACGCAGGGATATTGAGACTTGCGATTCACCTACGACCCCTACAACCCCTACCCCTACGAAGAGACCTTACACCCGTGCGGTGGATGTTCCTGCGCGGAGGGTGCGTGATGATGAGGTTGTTTTCTATTAGCCGAGCCTTTCGGCTTCAAATTGTGCGTTGAGAATGCTGTTCGGGGCTTCTAGTCTGGTTTCTTGACCTCGGCGATTCTGACGAGGTTGTTATGACATACCCGGACGGATAGACTGAAGTTATTGCGATTTTACATCGATTTGCCTGAGGAGAGCGATTTATTTCAAAAGGAAAAAAAAGGAGAAGCCTCGGGGCCAGATAGTTAATGAAACATACAAATCGTCTGCTTTTCTATTAGTAGACATGCTGCCATATGTGAGATCTGCAATGCATAAACCGGAGAATTGATTCGGAGAATTAGCATGTCTTCATGCAGTGTCACATCTATGAAGGTCTTTTCCTGGTCTGACCAATTATGACCAATGATGAACGGTGCTTGCGCTTTAGCGTCCTCTATTTATCCGAGTATGTCTCTGCCCAAAGGTTGGATGGAGGTTGTATACACATCATTGACCAGTTATATCTGGTACTTTATCTGGATTGGAGAACAAACTGGCAATCTAGAAATTTACCCACTCGAGGATAGTACATCCCACGCATCACTCGGAGAATTGACGGATTCAGATGACACGACATCCCACGCATCCTCAGTACTACAATCGGACTCGAGTCTCGAATATAAATATAGCTATTTCGCCCGTTTAATACTCAGAATCCAATCTCTTACTCTATACTCCATCCAATATCCCCTCAGCAAGTTAATATCTGAACAACAATGGACTCCCTCAACATTCCACAGACCCAAACAGTCGCTCTCGTCCGTTCACTGGGTGGCCAAGTCGAATTCAAAACAGACTACCCCGTGCCAATCCCGGGACGCAACGAAGTCCTCGCCAAAGTGCTCTACACTGGCGTCTGCCAGAGCGGTATGTATAATGTCATGTGGCCCAACCAACATCTGACAGGATGTTCTCTCGACAAGACCTTTCTTACAAACCAACAGACCTACACACCAAATCCGGTACCGCGGCCGGACCAGACGGCAACCCGATAACAAATATCAAGCTGCCACACGTGGGCGGCCACGAAGGCATCGGCCGAGTGGTCGCGCTTGGACCGGATATCACGCACGCCGCGGATCTGAAATTCGGCGGGCTGGTTGGGATCCGGTTCGCGAGCCGCATCTGTCGACGGTGCGAGTTCTGTCTTGCGGGTACGGAGCAGTACTGCGTTGGGAGTACGAACCATCTTCACCACGAGGATGGCTCTTTCCAGCAGTACATCGCTCTCGATGCGGATTACTTGACGATTCTGCCTGATGATGTTGATCCGAAGGTCATGGGACCAGTGCTTTGTGCGGGTTTGACGGCTTATAAAGTGGGTTGGGGATTTTGCTTTCCGTGGTTTGGGGTTAATTCGTGGTTGATTAGGCCGTCTTGAACGCGAATGTTCGTCCTGGGAATTGGTTAGTGGTCGTTGGGGCTGGAGGTGGCCTTGGGCATTTGGCTGGTATGTGTTCTTTTTTGTGGTACTCTGAGAGATACGTTGCAATCCACTGACATTCTCCAGTTCAATATGCAAGAGCTCAAGGGGCTCTGGTAATTGGCGTCGACACTGGTCCTGGTAAGGAAGACTTTGTCAAAGGTCTCGGCGCGCAGGAATTTATCGACTCTGCCACCGAAGACCCTGTAAAGAGGGTGCAACAGATTACTGGATTGGGTGCACATGCTGCTGTGGTGACAGCAGGTAATGCAAAGGCGTTTGCACATGCCTGTGATATGCTCCGGGTTGGCGGTACTTTGAGTTGTGTTGGTATTCCCCCGGGAAGACCGAGCTTGGAGACTCCTATCTGCACGATTGTGATCAAGGGCCTCAAGATCACGGGTAATCTGGTGGGATCGCTGAAGGAATGTATGGAGGCTGTTGATATGGTACGGCGTGGTATTGTTAAACCTGTGGTCAAAGTCCGGCCGTTCAAGGATTTGCCTGAGGTATATGAGGAGATGAGAAAGGGTGATATTTCAGGGCGCATCGTTCTTCAAATTGCAGAATGATCCCGCGAAAACTTTATTGAAATTCAGATTATCTGAGAATTCTGTTGTTGAAGCCAATCCAAGAAATCCGATGTCAAGTTCCCTTCATCGAGCTCGCTGTTTGGTGTGTATCCTGGAATCTGAGCCTGACCACCAGGTCCATTTTCGCCCGAATGCAGGCCAGAATCTTCCTCCCCGATTGTCAACAGGCGAGCTGGAGCTGCAACTAGAGCTTCAGCAGTTTTAGCACGAAGGATTGACTTCAACATGGTATCCTGCTCGAGAAAGGGATCAATCTTCTGGTATAATGCATGCAAAAAGTCCTGTGGTCCTAGTTCAAGCCGAGAACTTATTTTGTGTGAAGATAAAAGAACCGTATCCGCCAGGGAGTTGGCAACTTCAAAGCACTTCAATAACTGTAACGAGCCATTAGCCATGGCTTGTGTTTCTGTATATCAAGGCTACTAGCCTGGTCTCGTCCCAATGGTAGCAAATCCGTCTCGTTGAAACCCCGCAAGGCCTGGAGTAAGGCGCGGCCAACTTGCGCTGGAAATCCAAATTCCAAGACGGGTTCGCACGATGAAGAAGATAGCAAGCCCATGTTGAGTGCCTCCTGCCAGAGAATAGTCCTCATCCACTCCCGTGTAATGTGGTAGTCTGCCGTTCGGGTCGAGACATGATTGGCCATGCTGAAGCATAGTGAGGCAACCTTGACCTCGGTGTTGGTCAGATGTGTAGCCATGATGATTGCAGGACGTGAGTTGCGCCGTACTGAGATCTGATCAAATGCAATAAAGAGCTTGACGAGCTCTAGCAACCCTTGGGCATGAACATCAGCATTCATATCCCCCTCCAAATGTACTAATTCAGGGGGATCAATATATGAAGGACAGAGACCCAGGTGTAATGAATAACCTCTGTGATAGTTAGTAAGTTACTCTGCGGATTCGAATTCTCTAGCCTACCTCTCCGATACCCAAAGTAGCGGAAACACCAAGGCCTGGTTTGCAATCACCTCATCTTCCTCGTGTAAAAAACCCTCGTTCAATCGCAGAATACGAGCTCCGGTCATGGCCTCCTGGATGTACATCATTGACGAATTTCGTTGGTTGACCTTAGCATGGTACACATGCAAAAAAAAAGACACCAGAACGCTTCTGAGATCCAGATTTGCTCCATGGCTGTCGCAACTTGTACGCATTCGTAAGCAAGCTTGGGCCATTAGCGTGCTATCCACTGTCTGAGATCCATATACCGAGGGATCAAGATGCAACTGAGCCATCGTCGCGGCACAGAGGGCCATGATGAGACAGGAAGTATTCTCAGCATTGGAGTCAACTCTTTCTGGGTATACATCCTCTACTCTTCCCAAAGAGCTTCCGCGTTGACTACAGGCCAGACGCTGTATGAGTATTGCTGGTACAGACGGATCACCGACGCAAGGACTGGCTTTGGGATGCGCTGGAGGCTGCAGGCTGGGGCGGATGAAGAGATGGTATCATTACTACCGTTTTGTATTTATGTATCTTCTTCACCATTCTGCGGATTCTCTGTAGATTGAATCTCTGGAAGGTCGGTCTCTCGATGGCATACTCTGCGGGATTTCGGGCCCCTCCTGTGGGCAGGTCTCAGGTACGTACAGCGCACCCGCTTTGCTGCACCGCGGCAGGTATCGCAGGGCCATGAACCGCTGCATTTCACTTTGCGGGAGATACAGGTATCGCAGGCTCGTTTGGGTGGCATAAGGAGCTGGATTTGGAAGTGTCATGAAGAAAGATGTCACCTTGCCAAGCGTCCAACACCATACAATGCGGGGAAACTTTGGATCTTTTCGGCACCTTTGCCGGTATCTGCTCTCGGAATTAGTTTTTGTTATGGCCTAGTGGTAAAATACCAGTTCATAGGTGGGCTCAGCCACCCCTGAGCCCACCTGCCTTCTGGTAAAATACGCTGCACGGATTTCGTCAGGGTCTTTTATGTTGGAGGGGTTACGTGACGGCGTATTCGGAGCGCTAAACCCAAAATGGCAAGACTGACCCGATACAGTAATTCATAGGTCCGTCGTTTAGTTACAAAGTAGAAATAGCCTTTGCTCCCCCAAATTCCCCTCTGTCCTCAACCTTTTCTTCATTTACACACATACTCCATACCTAGGCACCAAATCCAACCTCCAACCACATCAATCATGGCTCTTTCCGCACCCAGCACAGACGTGAGTCTCCCATGCTATGCTCCCAACAAACCCCAGACCGAAACCTAATCAAGAAACAGCCGCAAGTCCTAATCACCCAAGAATCAAGCGCGGAACAAATCTTCCACAGCTTCACAGCAGAAACCGCTTGGCAGCTAGGAAATGCACTAAGGGACCGAATCCTCCGCCTCCCGGACGGACAGCGCCAGCCGGCCCTGATCTCCATTACGCTCACCGGCGGAGCCCCGCACCATGTGGTGTTCCAGGCTGTGACCGAGAGCGGCACGATCCCAGACAATGAGAACTGGGTGCGACGGAAGCGCAATACTGTGCTCCGGTGGGGTCTTTCGAGCTGGACTATGAGACAGAAGACTGTTAGTGGGCTTGCGGCTAATGCGTCCGCGGACCAGATTGAGGCTGCTTTTGTTAAGAAATATGCTGTTCCGAGTGCTACTGGGGGTGCTGTTGCAGATGAGTATGCTATCCATGGAGGTGGCTACCCGATTCGCGTGCGTGGCGTTGATGGGGTTATTGGTGTCGTTGTCGTTAGTGGGCTGAAGCAGGAGGATGACCATCAGGTTGTGGCTGAGACTATTCAGGCGTTCGTGGCTCAGCAAGCAAAATAGATGTCGAGGTATGCCGGTACACGATGTATTTCAATCAAATAAATTTAAATAAGCCTGTTAATAGGCACTATCTATAATAAAAGAATGCAAGGTATCATTTGTATTGTATTCTTAGCCGGCATTAATCAACCAGGCCTAAGAGTTGGAGACAGTGCCCCGTGTAAATTCGAACACAAAAAGGGGGACTCAAGCAAAAGAAAAAAAAGTGGAACTCCATGAATAATGCCTCAAAGATAATTTTACAGTTCGTCGTGGTCAAGGGGCTCGTCATCCTCATCAGGAGGAGAAGCAGAGCCGTACAGCTTGCTGGTGATGGGGTAAGCCACACTGGAAAGCTGCTCCTTCTGCTCCTCAAAGTCTTCCATGGTAGCGGTGGCAGCGTTGTCCTCGAGCCAGTCGTTAACCTCCTTAACGGCGTCGAGGATGGACTGCTTGTCATCCTCATCGATCTGGCCACCCAGACCGTTCTCATCGTTGACCTGGTTCTTCAGGCTGAAGGCATAGTTCTCAAGGCTGTTACGGGCCTCGATCTTGCCCTTGATGGCCTTATCCTCCTCGGCATACTGCTCGGCCTCCTGGACCATGCGGTCGATCTCCTCCTGGGAGAGACGACCCTTGTCGTTGGTGATAGTAATGGACTCGGCCTTGCCGGTGCCCTTGTCGGAAGCGCTGACCTTGAGGATTCCATTGGCATCGAGGTCGAAGGCGACCTCGATCTGAGGAACACCACGGGGCGCGGGGGGATGTTGGTAAGCTCGAACTTGCCGAGCATGTTGTTATCCTTGGTCATCGAGCGCTCACCCTCGAACACCTGGATCAAGACAGTGGGCTGGTTATCGGCGGCAGTCGAGAAGATCTGCGACTTGCGGGTAGGAATAACAGTGTTGCGGGGAATGAGCTTGGTCATAACACCGCCAGTGGTCTCAATACCGAGAGTGAGGGGGTTGACATCCATAAGAACAACATCGACCATGGAGTCATCGCCGGAAAGAATACCACCCTGGACGGCGGCACCGAAGGCAACGGCCTCATCGGGGTTGATTCCCTTGCTGGCCTTCTTACCAGCGAAGAACTCCTCGAGAAGAGCCTGGACCTTAGGAATACGGGTAGAACCACCAACAAGAACGATGTCATCAACCTCGGACTTCTTGACCTTGGCATCCTTCAGAACCTGCTCAACAGGCTTAAGGGTCTTCTTGAACAGATCAACGTTAAGCTCCTCGAACTTAGCGCGGGTAAGAGTCTCAGAGAAATCCTCGCCGTTGTGGAAGGCCTCAATTTCAATGCGAGTGGACATCTGGGAAGACAGAGTACGCTTGGCCTTCTCAACCTCGCGCTTCAGCTTACCCATAGCCTTAAGATCCTTCTTGACATCGGTGTTGTTCTTCTTGTTGTACTGCTTGACGAAGTACTCCATGACACGGTGGTCGAAATCCTCACCACCAAGGTGGGTGTCACCAGCGGTAGCGAGAACCTCGAAAACGCCGTTGTCAATAGAAAGAAGAGACACATCGAAGGTACCACCACCAAGATCGTAAACAATGACCTGGCGCTCATCACCGGTCTTATCAAGACCGTAGGCGATAGCGGCGGCGGTGGGCTCGTTGACAACACGAAGGACGTTGAGACCGGCAATGGTACCGGCATCCTTGGTGGCCTGACGCTGGGCGTCGCTGAAGTATGCGGGGACGGTAACAACGGCGTGGGTGACAGTCTTACCCAAGAAGCTCTCGGCGATCTCCTTCATCTTGCCGAGGATCATGGCGGAAATCTCCTCAGGGGTGAAGGTCTTAGGGACCTGGTTGACGTCGACCTTGACTTGGGGCTTGCCATCCTTCTTGACGACCTTGAAGGGGTAGTTCTTGATATCCTTCTGAATATCCTTGTCGTCAAACTTGCGACCAATCATACGCCTGCAATGCGTTAGTGCTGAGTTCTTGCTGTGATGAGTGTAATGGAAGCTTACTTAATATCGAAGATGGTGCGCTCGGGGTTGGCGGCGTATTGATTTTTGGCGGCGTCACCAACGAGGCGCTCCTCATCGGTGAAAGCAACGTAAGACGGGGTAATACGGTTTCCTTGGTCGTTGACAAGAATCTCGACCTTGCCATTCTGCATCACACCAACACAACTACACTCAAAGTTAGCAACCTGTCACATTGAACATGAACAATTTCCAGACTGAGGCAACATACGAGTAGGTGGTTCCCAAATCAATACCAATAACACTGCCGTAGCTCTCAGGGGAGTTCTCCTCCTGGGCGTTGGCGGTGTTTCCAAAGAAGGCCAAAGGCGCAACGAGCACAAAGAGAAGATAGAAGATGGTGGTCCAAGCGAAAGGCTTAGACGCGCCATCGCGTGCGGATAGGCGAGCCATTGTGAGAGGTGTATGTATAGGTATGTGGATCGAGATTTTTCAACACAAAGACAAAGAAGCTGTTGCTATGGAAGCTCCGCGCGTGCCGCTCTAAACAGCTGCGCAGACGAGTAAACGCAGACGAGTAAACACAAGGCGTGTTTGACTCTATGAACCCTTATGTTAGTCGATGGTATGTGGGAAAGGGACCCAGGGCGAAGTGAGGGAATGGTAGAATGGTTAGGAGAAGAATCGAAGAAAGAGGACTTCTTGTACACGGATACGGCCCAGCGGCCATGCTGGCCTTTTCCCAGTTCAGGTCACTTCTCGTGCGCTGATTGGCTGTCTGGCGTCCGGCAGTGGCTGACTCAGAAACTGCCACACAGCCACACCGCCTTCTTTAATAGGCATTGAACTGCCTAAAGTAGTCTAGTGGCAGGGGTCTATCCACGACCTGCTCAGGGTTTCCACCAATCAACGACTGCCAGATGATCGAACTTGCTAGAAGGGGCCAAAGGTTTGCCCCTTCGGGAGTTCTAGTCACTGCTACTGACCACGTGTTACTTTATGGTTCTATGCTACATTACAACAGCCTAATTGTGTGTCGATCCATTGATGATAACAAGTGGCATCTCAATGGAGAGAGCAGGTGAGGTATGTTGTATACCCCCGTACAGCGGGCCTAGATTTGGGCCGGGGATCTCCCGAGTAGGTCGTGGCACAAAGCACCCACCATGCCCTGGGTATAGAGCTTTATGAGTCTAACTCTAATGGCACTACCAGTGATACACAATCGAATAATTATTCAATGATTGAGCTTAAATCTTCCTATAGTAGTATCTGAAATCTATTCAAGACATAATCACCAGCTGGCGAGCTCTAGATCGAATATTATTCTGTGATATATATATTTTTTTTAGTGTCTTACTCTAGATGAACAATAACGTGCCACCGACGACGAGTAATTGTGGCATATCACGAATGAGATGGATTTCGATTAAATCAACTTATTCCAATAAACCAGCAGCCACTGTTGAGCCTCCCGCGCGCAGGACAATCCTCGTCGGTGCTTCTAGAGGAACAGCTTGATCCATTTCAACCACAACACGCGCCACGACACCCGGTCCCACAATCTTAGGGCGTTTCTTGATATCTGCTCCTGACGCTTTGTCTAGAGAGGCGACCAACTTGCTGATGCGACCCGGTACATGTAGACGACCACGGTGGACATCCACTTGCATGGGCATCAGGTGTTCGAAGGCCAGAACCTTGGCGGTGAAAGAAGTGATGGTAGGAATGGGAGAGGAAGGACGGCAGACAACGTCACCGGAACGGAGGTGAATAGGGTCGATATTGGCGATGTTTAAAACGACGTTTTGACCTGCCACGGCCCAGTCACTTGGCTCGCTGTCCACCTCCAAACTGCGCACCGTTGCTGTTTCACCACTAGGCATGATCAGGATATGGTCGCCCATCTGCAAACTGCCTGCATCAATACGGCCAGAGATGGAAAGCGGACTTTGCACGCCACCTCGGAAGACATCACCAATCGTCATACGCAAAGGCTTTTCGAGGGCGTGTGTGTATGGCTCCGA